AGTAGAACTTCTCATGAAAATATCTCTGCTGTATTTTTTACTGATATAACTGGAAAATTACTTATTTGTGAGCAAAGATAAACAAGTGACTTGAATTATGTAGCAAGACTAGAAAAGTGTAGCACTGTTGCTATTTTTCTTCCAACACCTCTTGTTTCATGTTTCATGCCACCCACTACTGTAAATTAATATTAATGTCATAACTTAGAGAATAAAAAATGAAGTGCAACAGGAACAGGTTTGGTGAATAAAAGGGCAACTCTGTCAGGCAAAATATTGTGCAATAATGTGTAAAATACAACTAGTACGAATACCTGGGTCATCTCCCTTTTACTTCAATTTCAATTTGATATTTTCCTTTGTCCTTGAGGAAAACTGGAAGTTTGTATTGTTTAGGCTAAAATACTGGAAAAGAAAGCCATACTGAGGAAGAGGAGAGTCTTTGATTCAGCTTTTGTGTCTGGTGGGAGCATTTTCTCAAAATGTAGGTGCTATTTCCTGTAATCAAGGGTTTTCCAGAGCCTGATAATAATTTCCCAGCTGTATCATTTTGGTGAATTATTCTTTAGCCTTGGGTTTTGCATATTAAGAATGGGAGAGGAGATCATATTCATCTTGATGATAGAAAACAGGGAATAGAACTCCCACAACTCCCTCTCCCTTTCCTTCCACCTTGTGGAAAGTTTGGCTTTGTGCTAAAGCGTGAAAAAAGCCTTGACTGCAGTGTGTCAGGCATATTTCAGCTCGATTTGTGTCAACCCTAATAAGTCAGCTGACAAGGTAATAAACTGGGTGTCTGTTCAAGACCTGGCACCTGTACAGGAAATAAAAGGGGATTTCAGTTGCAGCAGATTTGCTTTGTTTTACAAATGAATCTTTTCTCAAGGCTCCTCTACCTCCTTCCCCCTTCTTCTCTTTACTGAAATCACGTTATCAAAATGTTTATTTCAATTGTGGCTGGAGCCAGTGTTTTATATGGAAAAGAAACCCCTATGAGTCTCCTTGGAAATAGAAATCCTTATGATTTCCATTCTGAAATAAAATCTTACAGAGAATTTAATTATTCATGTGTCCTGCTGTTACATAAATGGTCTGAATAACTTTGAATTATTAGAAACTGCCTTTGTTCAGCATTTTGAAACTTTACATTTATATAGTTTAAATCAGGCTAGGAAAACAGAATTTATTTAACCCAGGGAAACTGTAGTAGTAAGATCTCACTATTTTTAATGATAATATAACCTTGTGACCAGGGCGTCTTAACATGCTTCCCTCTGTGCCTGACCTCCAAGGATGCAAGTCTGTTACAGCCCTTGAGAGCACAGCTTTTGTAGGTCCAGCTGTAGGGTTGTGTTTTTAGCTCAGGGGCACCAGGTCAGTTCCCAGTGTGATGTGAGGTGGTGACTGTGATAGTGGTGAGAGCTGAGGCAGTTTCTTTGGACTATTCACTTTTGGTACACAGATCTTCCTCCATGCTCGGAAAGGAGACAACAGTTCCTGTCTCTGACCTTTTCATTTTTGGTGACTGTCCTGGGCACCATGGAAGGAGTGTCCTAAAGATGTGGTTTCAGACTCTATGACTGGAGGAAGCAAAACAGGACCTTGTATTCTTTGAAATGGGCAGCTGCCTTTTCTTACAATTGAATTTCTTCTACTTTTTCCCTCCTTCATTATCCCATAGGGATCTAGAATAAGTAGATCTTCATTTCCACATGGAGAGTTCATCTCCCAGAATTTCCTTCTTGGTCTTTTTTAATTAGAGGAAGTGATAATCTGACCCAGTGGAAGGGGGAAATGGTTTATTAAAAACAAATATTATTGCCATTAATTAAAGTACGTACGATCTTTAGAAACAAGGAGACAAGAACTCTCAAGGTCATAACAGTTGCCTAAGTGTGCTTTGCACATCATAAGAAAATTTTCAGCAGCGATGTTCAAAATCCAAAAAGATAAACCTATGTAATGTATATAATAAAGTTTTCTATACAGTCTGTCTGTTTTAGGATTTATTGTTCTTTATGCAGAGGATTGGACTAGATGACAAAAGCCTTACCTATCCACTTCTATTACATTTATGGTTACAACATTTAAATGAGGAAATAAAGTTTTCTTAAGTTCTCCTAGTATTTTCAAGAAGTGAAAAAGGAACTTGAGGGGGGAAAAAGGGGGGAATATAAACCTTTAAAACTCCAAGTGAACTTTAGGAATTGTAATTGAATGCAAGCTCTGGTCTTTCCTATCACACTGTAAATTAAAAAAAATATACTTATTTAAGCAACGCTTCTTTCTCCAGCACTGCCTAGTAATATGATGGATTACTCTAAATTAATTACAGTAATCAGCTAACGTTATGTGCTGTAGAGTTGTGATTCAAGCATGAAGGAAAGAACGTAGAGCAAATTGCATGTATGAAAAATGTGTTGCAGGGTTAGCTCAAGGTTTACACCTTGGCCTCAGCCTGTGGAAAAAAAAAAAAGAACTTGAGGGTGAAATACTGAAAACTGATCAAAAATGAAGGAAATGTTCCAGGTCACATATCTTTGGATGTACTGCAAAGGCATTATATGTTAATAAAAGCAGAAGAATAAAGTAAGAAAACAGTACCTAATAATAACTGATACTGTATGTTGCAAGAGGTGTTTTAAATTTCCTGGTCATTGAAAAGATGTTAAGAAATGCCCATTTCTTTGTGTTTGAATACTATCAGCTCCCTTCTGACCTGTTGTGAAATAGATTGAGAATTTATACTGAACTTTACAAATTCCTCATGAGGTGAATAGCAAAAATCTGCTTGGATACATATAACCTTCTTTAAAAATATTTATAGAACACAGCTCTTATGAAAATTAAACATGTTCCAGGTGTGTATGGTGCACCTTCTGGACATAGCCAAGTTGTTTTTTAAGTGGTAGATACACCTGTCCTTGCTAGTCAAGAGAAATTCTTCATGGTCAAGCTGCTAAAATAAAATTAAATTTCATAGGGTTTGTTGTGTCTTGGTTTCATTCAAGAGAAAAAATTGTATCATTATAGTAAAGCTGGGTATGATTTGTAGGTAGGATGTGCACCTGGCTGTGGAAAAAATATTAGTTCTTTTCTTCTGAGCAACAACTACTTGCAGTGCTTCAGCTCTCAGGATAAAATGGTGGATGTGATACTATTATGCTTGCAGGCTTATTGGGAGGTTGGGATTTTCAGATGACTTTTTTCTTCATTACTAGTGAAACTAGCACCACAGAAACTCATGGTATTTTGTTCTAGCTTTATTCAAAATACTTATGGGAAGAGGTGCAAATGCCATGAGTATAAAAGCTCTGAGTAAAGAGGATAAAGCAAAAAGATGGAGTTCAGCTATAGCACAGGGGATGGCTTGTAAGCTGAAACAGCCATGTTTACTGAGCTTCCCTTCTGTTTCAGTGCAGCTGCCCAAAAGGACAGGGCATGGCCAGACTGTTTTCAGGGATGTTTTCCAGATGTGTGAAAAAAGTCTTTAAAGGGGGAGGAATATATATCCTTTTTTTAGTTTTGCAGATTCTCGTATTTTTCTGGCCATGCTGTCAAAAATATCAAACTATATCAAACTATATAAATAATAATCTAGCTGAAGAAAAAACTAGGCAAAAAAAGGGAGGGTATTGAAAGAAATACCTCAGAAATGGTACTGAGGCAAGAATGAGCAGATGTGACAGAGATGCACAGGGGATGTCTCAGCTGATTTCAATGTAAGGTGAAGTTCTAGATGAGACTAAAGTGAAATAGAGAAGTTGGTCTGTCTTTTGGATGAGATTTTGCATGGCTGAAACACGTATGTGCAGTTTGTTGCCACTTCTATTTAAGTAGTGTCTTGAGGTGTGCTATCTGCAGTGTTCTTTGGAAGCTCCCTGGATTTTTATCCCAGAGTCTTTCTTCAACTGTGAAAATGTTTTATAGATTTTTAAAATCTTGCACAATGTTGTACAAAATTGTGGCTGATAATTCTTCTACCGCCCCACCACAGAATAGCAGCAGCATAACATCTGAGAAACACATTTTTTGTGTGTGATTATCTTATTTCTTACTCTTAGGCCCTAAACTGAGGTGAATGTCACCCATTGATATATAAAAAAGGGATATTTGTGACTTTTCTATCTTTCCCCTACTTCTCTTTTTTTTTTTGTTTGCTGCTTTTCAGAGGCCAATTTAATTCAGTTCACCACTGTGTCACTACATTTTCAGCAACCCAACAAAGGAGAGTAGTAGGAGACGATATGAGGAATCTGCTACAAATCCTGCTATGGACTGGTTTCTTCTAGAAAATTGCCAGTTTAAATATATATCCATCTGCATCTGAGTCACCATTTCATAGCTACCAAAGCCAATTGTCACCTGGGCCATCCCAGTACCTACAGCCTCTCACCATTCAAACCTGGGTTTAATGCTTCCTGATTCACCCAAAATCTCACCCAGCAAAATCAAAGTAATTAAGTAATTTTTTTGGAGGTAGCTCAGGGCCCCAGTTGGTGAAATCAGGTAGTAGGGTTCCGAGAGGAGGGTGTGACCATGGCAAGCCAAATTTGTATTAATCTGAGCAGCTGTGGAGAGTTACTACTAGGTTTGGCCTGCCCATTCCAGAGCTGCTTTCTCTCTCCTTCTCCTGGTCTCAGTGCTGAGCGTGTGTTAGGCCAGGAACAGCTATCCTGTCCCTATATGGGTTTCTTCCAGTTTTGGGAAAACAGGAACACCATAACACCTGCAGAGCACATGAGTGCTTCAGCCTTTGAGTGTACCTAATGCCACAACATAGGTGATGAGTAGGTGGGAATTAGTTTTTGAAACCTTGCAGACTAAGCAAAGGTTCTACTGAAGTCAATAGTAGTGTTATTTGACAGAGGTTGAAGAGCTTGGAGACTGGTTTTATGTGTTGTAAAAAGATTTCCAGCTGGTAAATTGTAAATATATAAAAGGTTCTGAAATGAAAACTGACAGAATAACTGATAAAAATTTCTGGATCTCTATTTCAGTATTTTATTCAGAAGTATTGAGTTAATTAGTTACATATACGTATGGAATAACTACAGACTCTTTGAACTGCCCTGGGACTCACCATGGACATGGTATTTGACACTTCTGGGAGTGGACTTTGCATACTACTGCTTTCATCGCATGAGCCATGGTAAGACTTTACAAGTTTTTTGTGTTTGAATATGCAAAATACTTTCGTTTTTAATAAAGTGAGGTATTCATTTTTGTTTCTATAGTTGATCTACTCTAAGCATATACAGCTGCTTTTCTTTCCAAGGGTTAGCAAAGACGCCTTTAGCATGGAAAACAGTTAATGCATCAGTCTATACAGTAAACATGCTTTTGTGGAAGGAAGGAGTATCATTTGGAAAGCAGTTCAACAGAGAAAGCGAAGCATCATGAAAAAAAAGTAAGGGAAAAAATAGTAAATACATAAAAATTTGGGTTCAATATCCCTATATATCTGTATGAAAAAGCCAGCAAAGTGCAGATATTATTTCAAAAGGATCTGATGGATGTACAAACTAGAGAGCAGTAAAAAGCAAGGTGGCCAAAATAATGGAGCCTGTGTAAATAATATTAGCCATTTCTGTACATATATGTGTATCTCATTACATATTTTGGTTCCATAGTGAAAACAAACATCATCTCTAGCCTTTTATATCCTGAAAATTTATGTGAAAATGCAATAACGCTTTCTATCAATCCTAGTTCTGGGCCTGACCTAGAGTCTGTAGCAATGAAATAAAAATCTTTTTGTTTTTTAAGAGGCTTTGGACTGGGCTTCTCAAAGCCAAGTGCCCACAGCTTGCAGAAGCTGTGGGATTTAGTAATGATACTTTATGTAATTTGCTTTCAGAAAGGGAAAATGCTCTGCTCTGCTGCCAGTAGTCAGTGGAATATATGGAATAGGTAAGAAGGGAGCCTGAGCTGCTGCGAGGAGTGGGAGAGAGGAAGGGTCCCTCCCAGGTGGGGATGGCAGGCGGGTGTGAGAACAATGCAGGGTGGGTGTAAAGGGATAACAATGGTGGGGGGACGGGGCGGGAGGTGAGGAAGCAGGGGGAGCTGGAACAATGTGTCGAGGGGGACATCACGGCTGGGAGCTGGGAGCCCTGCGTGGGTGTACAGAGACTGGGAATACACTTCACAAACAATGACATTAACAGTGCTGGCAGGGCTGCAGCCTCAGGCTAATAACTGCACAAGAGCGGGAGGCTATTCCTGTGCTTTAAAATAAAAATAATTACCTTCAAGTGTTAGAAAATCACTAGCTTGGCTGAGCTTTCTCTGGAGTCAGTGGTAAAATTCCCACTGGCAGAGAAGGGAACAGGGCCATCTCTGCACTCTCTAAAGCAATGGATATATTTCTGTTCCTGCAGCAACTTTGCATTTATTCTTCTCTGTTTTTGTTTTTGATTGAATACTTTGGAATTAATGTCAATAGATGTTTTAGAAAGAAAAACAAGCCAATTCTATGTGTAATGGAGTTGAAGAAACTTATAAGAAAATGCTTCTCTTCTCTTAGGAAGGTCAGTGCTGAGCTATTCTATAAATGTTAATTTTCTCTTCTTCAGGTTGTTTGCTGTTAGATCTGTGCTACGTAGCAGGGAACTGATGAAGCATTGTAGAAAATCAGTCTTAAGTGGAGATTTTTGTTTAACCAACACTCTTCTCTGGTCACACAATGATGAAATCTGTAGCATGGCAACACAGCTGTGAAAGTCAGCTGCATTGGAAGTTGCTGAGGAAATTCAGGGAGATGGTTTTAAAAAGTCAGGAAAAATATCTTTGCAAATTCAGAAGAAAGGACACTGGAAAAGTTGCTGGTACAAGCAGACAAAAGACACCTTTGCACTAGAAAGTGACAGGGCCTGGTGATTCAGGCTTGGATCCTACAGCAAAGTTAAAAATTAATAGCACATGTATATCCCAGGAAGTTCAAGCTGTGTGGGCTAGCCCTAATTGTTTCAAACTGAAAAACTAAAATTCAGATACATTTTTGAGTTGTTTCTTAGAACTTGATACAATTTTGATACTAGGAATTATCATCATAATGTAGCTTTTCCCGTCTGCAAGCAATAATTTAGTAACTCAACCCCTTGACATTTTTATTACCTTATTTCATGTTGTCCACAGATAACTAAATTTTTCATTCTAGTATTTAATAAATTGTCTTGAATCACTACAGGTTTTAAAGTTTCTTCTGTGGTAGAAACTGTACTTTGCAATATAAAATTTTTACCCAGCATTTGAGGAGATATTTTTTCCTCTTCACTATATGCATGTAATAGCTATTATCCTAAACTGAAGTTATACAGCAACAAAAGGAAGTATTTTTAGGTGTGATCTCATTTTGCAAAGGATAGAGTTATTCTAAGTATGTACTTGTATTTTCCATTGTTTGCAGTAGCCACTGAAAGGTTAGAAAATAAAATGCTTCACCACTTAATCCAGCATTCTTCTGGGTCTGATCCAAAAGCCATGGCAGGCAATGGGTCTACTTAGACACCACTCTTTCTTATGGCATTTTAACGAATTTATAAATCCATGTTACTTTTCCCTTTGTTTCAGTAAAAACACCCATTATGGCTGTACTACTAAAAAAAGTATGCTATAAAATCACAGGTTTTCCGTGAAAACATTTTTTTAGAAAAGGATATGTGTGGGTTTGAAGGATTTTTACCAGGTATTTACATCTAGCATATATGGATTAGTCCTCAAGTTTCCTCTCCAGGTGCAGAGACCTTGTGGAGTTAGTCCTGCTAGTCGTGGGGATTTGGCAGTCCCAGAGCAGCACTGAGCTGCAGCACACCCTCCCCGTGCCCTGGCCTCACGGATACTCCTGTTGCAGACAAATAACAACGGCAGTAAGGAATTTGGAAGCTCTGTAAACTGATTCCTTCAACAGCCACACCTTTTAATCATGGGGGAAATCTAGAAAATTCCAGATCCATGCAAAAACACTGGTGCTAGTGCAGAGCCCAGGTCCTGGCTGCAGGTGTCTGATGCCCAGCTCTGGTATGGAGGGCTTTACTGGATCCAGGGCCACCCCTGGCCTGAACAGGTCCCTTGGCAACAGCTGTGTGCTCAATCCTGTGCTCTAGTGGGGGTTGCAAGGCTCTGGTGCTCTGTAACAGAGTAGTTTTTAATCTACACTTCCCTGAGGATCGCATCCTGCAGAACAGAGTGTGTTTCTGTCAGCTGAGGGAATCTCCTCTCCTCTGTCAGGCCCTGGAAGAAGCTGTCTCTTCTTAACAGCAGCTTCCAACACCTCTTCTTTTGTTCTCCTTTACTGCTGGGGAATTTCCATTGCTTCAGCGTCCCTCCCCTCAGACAACCTGGGAGAAGCGCGTTTCCTTCGGCAGGGCCAACCTCCACAGCAGCTGCATTGTTCTGCCTGGGCCCCGCTGGCCGGTGTCAGCCGTTCGCCCCATTGTCCGCTGGTGGCTTCCAGCCACCCTGCGGGATACGTGACACGGTCCCTGTCAGCGAAGGGCTGAGCCAATATGAGCTGATGGTTTGAGTTACATCTGAGGTCATAAAATAGACCTCAACTGATGAGTATATCCTCAGCAGATTCCCCAGCTGCTACATAAAATTTCAAGTTAATGGTGTGTCTCTTAATAATTCTGAATTTATTTATAGTGGATGAGAAATGAGCCTTCTACACCAGGTGTATTGTAGAGCAATAGAGTCCAAGCTTCTCAGTTTCTCCCACCCCACAAGACTGACCTTTTGGCCAAGGCCAGCTTCTGAAGGGTCAGAGGACAAAGAAACAAACCCTGAAAACTAATGTCGGCATTGTCCTTCATAAGACCATGCCTCAGACTGTGGCAAAATGTCTCAGCTGAGGATGTTGAGAAACTTCTAAGACTTCAAATAATTGGAAGTTTTGTGAACTTTTCAACTCCTGTTTTAAAGAACTTCTTTTAGAAGGGTGTTTCTCTTAGCCGTGACTTAAATTGCTTCTGCCTCTTCTCCCTGTGAGCATCTTTTGTTACAGTTCCTTCAGCAGCAGAACTGACTTCAGAAGTTTTTGGCTGCTCTTTCCTACACCATGCTGCAGTTCACAACCCACTCAGTTCTGAAAAAAATATCATGTATGGAGACTGTGTGCATAAGATCACTGAAATAAACCATGTTAAAAAACAAGGTTGTGTTGCATTTCTTTCTTAACAATTCAACTCAGTAGTCATAGGGTCAGCTTAGCCTTGGAGCAGGACATAAGCCAGATGTGCTAGCTGAGAATCTATGGGATTAAGTGGAGACTTGAGAGAGAGCAGACAATTTTCTGAGTCGGTAGTGCACAGGCAGGTAACTCATTGTTTTATAAGGAGCCAGACTGGATAAATTGGCACAGGTAGTGTCTCAAGATTGATGCAGTTAAAATCACTGGAATGTACAACAGTAAAGTCCATTCCTGTTCTTTCTGATAATTACATATGTATTGTGTAGTAATATTAATCCTAATGTGTTACTGGATACCAATGCAATACGGTGTGTGTTTTTACATGAGGAGATGAATTTAACCTCATTAGAAGAAAATGCAGCTCAGAGGCTCAAAGTCTCTTCATCATCTATATTTACTGATAATTTTTGGAGGGTGTACTGAAATCATATGATTGTACTGTCTTTATTTATCTGATCCATTCCTGCCTTTGAAGTGCCCCTATCATCTGCATTTTATAATGTACTTGTCTGAACTCAGTATATTAACATGGACTTATGTAGATATTGTATTAACAATTGATATTATATTGAAGTAATTTTTTATTTACGGGGTTTTGAATTTATGGGAAGTTCATTATAATAACATGACATCTGACTTTTCTTACAAGATTTGCTTTTCAGGAAAATCTGTATTCCCCTAGTAATACAGCAAATTATAATGCTCTTTTACATGCCAAGGGGAGACAGGGTTGAGTGGTGGTGGTATTTTTAGGCTTATTTTTACCTGTGGGAAATTAATGTTGTTTACCTGACTAGAAATTCAGTACCATATTGATTATCCAAAATGAAACAAATTTGATTTCACCCCAGTGAAAGACAGAAAATGTTGGGAGCTGTCAAGTGACTGGATGAGGCTCTGTTCTTTTTCTTGTCACAGCTTGTGTTGATTGCAAAGGGAATTGATACACAGTCATTAAGAGA